TTTTCAGGTTCTGGGAAAGGGAAGGAGATCTTGGACTAGAGTTCAGAGTCTGATCAGTTATAGGTATTTTTGTACTTTTTGATTTTTGTACAGTCATGGTTTTTCTTCTTTGTTCTTTCTGTCCGCCATGTACTATATTTGTAGATGATTATTTTGAGGAAAAGAAAAATATAGATGATTAGTTCCGCTGCATTTGATGTTTCATAGTAGCTCTGTGTGTCTGTTTTGAGTTGAAATATTTGGAAGAATCAGTTCTGAAGCAAATTCCAAAGCCAGATCCTGGTCTGTCTGTTTGTTTTGGCTGGTCGCGGCCCGGTGCGGGCGGGATCCGTCTCGGGTCGGGTCGTGACACAAGATGCCATGTTGTGTTAAAAAGTTTTTGAAATTGTAATTCAAGTACTCAGTACCACCGTCAGAACGAAGGCATTTTATAGAACAGTTAGTTTGTTTTTCAACACAAATTTTAAAATGCTGAAATATATCAAAGACTTCAGACTTGTATCTAATCGGAAAAACCCACGAAAAACGAGAAAAATCATCGATAAAAACAACTTAATAAATAAAACCTTGGTGCGAAGGAACCGGGGATGGACCCCAAACATCAGAATGAATAATGGCTAATGGTGTAGTAGCACGGTGAGTATTATTAGCAAATGGTAGTTTAAGACCTTTTGAGGTCGTACAAGCAGAACAAAACTTAAAAGAATTCGGTATTTTTAGTCGAGCATCAGCAACAGAAATAGCTTTGATAATTCTGGGATGCGGATGACCCAATCTTTGGTGCACAGAGAGGCAGCTTGAGAGGTAGCAGTGAGTGCCGTTGATGAGGGCGACATCTTGATGACCGAATGTAGTGGGTAGAGCCCTCGATTACTTGGACCCGACAGAAGAATTTTGTTTGTCGTCATATCCTTAATGTCGAAACCATGAGGATAAAAATTCACAGACACATTATTGTCTTGAGTAAGATTAGAGACAGACAACAAGTTATGTGATAATCGTGGAACATGAAATAAGTGGTTGAGAGTTAGCTTACGATACGGTGTTGGCAGAATTCCATTGCCGGAGTGCGCAATGGAGAGAGATCTGCCATCACCTATGGTAATGTTATCATTACCGGTATAGGATGTAGCCTGAGAAAGATTGTCCGCGGAGTTAGTGAGATGAGCCGACGCGCCTGAGTCTAAGTACCAGTCGTGATTGTCTGATTCAGTTGCAGCAACCATCGCACGGGAAGCAGTAGTTGTAGAAGTTGTGTCCGGAGCATTGACTGAGGTGTTGAGTCTATGCCAACAATAATGTGCGAGATGACCCTTTTTGTTGCAGATTTGGCATCGAGGAATGCTGGAGGTTGAGGGACGAGATTGCTGAGAAGATGATCTGGCTCGTCCTCTCCATCCAAGACCTCGGTTGGAGTAAAGAGTCGTGGAGGAGTCGCCAAGTTGAATCTGTCTAAACGTCTCAGACTGAAGGTTGATTTCTTCAGAGAGCAAGAGAGAGTAAAGACTGTCAAGATCCATAGTTGATTGCATAGCACGAATTGTGGTCTTAAGAGCATTGTAAGACGGAGGAAGTCCGTTCAAGGTATAAAGAAGAACGTCTTCTTGATCAATGGCAGAACCGGCTGAGGCAATGTTATCGACAATGGTTTTTATTTGTTGAAGATATTGCATCATATTCTGAGACTTCATCTGTACATTATGCAACTCATTTTTGAGTTGGATAACGCGAGATCTATTAGACGATTGAAAACGGCGTTCGAGCGTAACCCAAATGTCGGAGACAGAGATGAGATGGATTACGTAAGGTAAGATCGCCGGAGATAGCGTGGAGCAGAAAGCAGCCGCCAGATTCTGATCGACAAGAACCCATTCTTGATGTTTGGGATTGGGTTCTTTGCTGCCATCGGAGAGGATTTTGTGGCTGGCGGGAGGGGACGCCGAAGGAAGAAGAAAAGAGGCAAATCCGTTGGCATTGAGAAGTTTCAGAACCTGAGATCGCCATATGGGATAGTTGTCGGAGGATAGCTGGATCGGAACGATGATCTTAATGTTGGATATCACGAACTTAAGGGCAGCGGGTATAGCCACGCTTTCATCGGACGAAGAAGTAGAGCCGTCTTCCGTTTGCGAGACAGTAGAGGCCTCCATGATCGGAGCGGGAGGGAGGGGACAGGAAGGAGCAGAACAAAGAAGCAGAATACCAAGAACTTAGAGCCGTAGCTCTGATACCATAAAGAGAAACAGAGATGAAAGTATTCTTTATTATCTGTCTAATCTATTACAGGAGATCTATATATATAGCTTTACAAAGCCAGTACAAGAATACAAAACAATAAGTCTAGAAGACAGGTAAACAGGTAAGACCTGTGTACAAGCATATATAAGGTATATGTTATTATGGACTCCTTCAATAAACTGAGCTCACCAATGAAACACGGACCACCGATGCATACCCAATGTCGATAACGCTGTAACAGTAGTCTTTCGATAAGCACTTCGGTGTTTGGCCAACCATAATTGTCTGAAACGAGATTATATTTACCCTAATCTGCTGTGAAGCATAATTAACAAACTAAAACCCATGTGATTAACTTTCTTAAGAATGGATACGTTTGGGAAATGGGATTAGTTATTCTGTGTGGACACCGGAACGCCGTCCGGAGATCAATCAGAATGTGCAACATCACCTCTTCGAGCTCTATACCACGGCTATGTATCATTGACGAGACGCATTCTGATTAGCCTACGGACGACATTTTATGTCCGGCCTTTGCACAGAATAATTTCTCAAAAAATGAATGTTGGCTTTTCATTGGCACGGAAAATGAATGTTGGCATTTCATTGGCACGGATTAAACGAATTTTACATTTCCTTTGTGATGTTGGCTTGATTGATCAGATGTAGGCTTCAATTTTTAATTTTTTAACAAGTACACTGGCCCTCTCTTCTTTATTATGGACAGTAACTAGTCGAAGGTTCCATGGGTTTGCTTAAGGGGCTATTTGATTGGATTTCAAATGAGTGTGAATGTAAAGCATTCCAAATGTTTTCAAAATTTTAGTTTTTGCTTGGATGAAAAAAAAAAAAAATACTTGAGTAAAATAAATGTAGTAAAGTCATTCTAGTTCAAATAAAACTCATCCTGTTTAGAGCCAGAACAGTTTACACAACATTAAAGCTCACTTAACCACCGTTGGCCACCTCCATTTGTCTCTGGCCGCAACCACCACCACCCACCCAACCACAACCACTGCCAGCCGCCATTATCAACCACCGCCATCGTCACTTGCTACCATTGATCATCAATCGTCACAATCTTTAAACTTTACACCACATTTATTTTACTTCAAGTCCAAAAAAATATTCACTTGAATTTACTTTACACTCATCCAAATAACTCAGAAGCATTCTTTTAACACTACATTACTTTTTAGCCAACCAAATAATCCCTAAGTTAAGTGAGTTCATCACCCTTTTGTTTAATCATAATATATATTATTTATTTTGAAATTAGTTATTTAATTGATCAAGCTTGTAACTTCTATTCATTAGTCAAAAAGAATGTTAGGAAGTTTAAAATTCAATATGTAGTCTGTGAAACATGGCATCTAAACAATTAATTGAGGCTAGAAACAGATTAATGTTTCATTTGAGACATCTTTCTTCCTGCTTTTTAAAATAATTTTTTAATACAAAAAATTTTTGAACTATAAATTTTTATATAAGATAATTATTTTAGAAAATAATAAGAAAACGATCTCAAATAAAGACTAAATGAAAGAGACTATCAAACAGATTATACAAGAGCAATACAAAGCCATCTAGGAAATCAATGTGAACATAGCTAAATTTTCTCTTATCAGTAAAATGATCTCAAACATTAATATACTGACTCATGACCCTTTGGGAGAGGTAAATGAAGGTGCAGATGCCTTAATTGCCTGAGTTTTTGAGTTTGCAGCAACCTGTCCAGCAGCAACATTCTTTGCAGTTCCCATGTCACTTGCTATTCCTGCAGACTTTCTGATCTGCAAATACATAAGCGCATGGAATATTCGGAGTAAAACTTATGGCTTTAAGCATATCAATGTTATGCGTTGGCAAAATAAAAAATGTGGCATTTGGCATCACTTAGCATTGAAGTTAGTCTTTCCAAATAACAAAAATAATTCCACCATTGAATTCCATATAATCCATTCAACTCCCCCATAAATTTTCAAGTCATTTTGGAAGAAAAAAAAATATTTCAACAACCCAAATCAGTTGCCAGCTCTCGACAACACAGACTCCAGCACATATCATCGTATGCCCTAACCCCTCTGCCCTCTTCAACACCCTTAGAACATCTCCTACCAAACTGCATACCACTGTATGTCGTATAAGAATCGTTGCATTCAAACTTCAAATCTCATGTCAAAAATCGGTAGGTGAACAGTCCAACGTCAATATTGGCACCGCACTATTCACCTACGACAATATATATATATATATATATATATCTTCGCACTTTGCGTAACTTCACAGGAAGCCCGTGAAACAGGAGAGAGATGATTACCTTCGCAGGAAGCACGTGAAACAAGAGAGAAATGGTTACCTTCGCAAAGAAGCACGCTAAAAAAGAAAAATGGAGTTCCATTGGAGATGAACTACCGCATTTTGAAGTTTTACAGCATTTTTGAATGAAAAATGGGGTTTTCAGTTGGAGATGCCCTTACAGCTCCAAATAGATCTTGTAACTCAACCTTTATATATTTCTTTAATGTCATCCTTACACTACAGCTCTTCAAAACATCCTCTCACTCTCTCCAATTATGCAGACAATCCTCCACATCCATCCTAAACAACTGTAATATGCTGCCAGCTCAATCGGCTGAGCTTTGCAGTATTCAGGCTTTCATTTGGGAATACTTTCTTCCTACTTCCTAAAACATCTTTTTAGTACAAAAATCTTGAAAGTTGCATTAAGAAGCAGTAAAAAAATCCGTCCCAAACAAAACCTCATTCTTCAATAAGTTGCATGTATCATCACAAATAGAGATCATGATGCGGACATCAGCCAGAAGATCTGGCGCATCTATCACAGGAGGCATCGTAAATCGACGGCTCTTATTTAAGTTGTCATTTATGAATTATTTTCTGCATTTTAGTTTCTACTTTCTTTCAGTTTTCGGAGAGGCTCAGGTTTTGAATAAAAACCTGAAGGAAATTTTCAGATTTTGTGAGACACTTGGAGTTGTCCATCATCCCTAGCAAAGCCTCCTACCCGTTCTACATCAGATCAATTTCAAGAAGCATTGTAGCTGCTCTTTGAGAATAGAGAATTAGTGAACCCAACCTTCTTGCTTTGTACAACATAAGAAAACAAGAGTAATGTTGCAAGCGAATATGGTCTACCATCATAAATATGCAAGAACCTCAAGGTCAATATAATATGGTAATTGGCAGGTTGTCCAAAGAAACTATAGAGCATGGTACAAAATTATTCCACCTAGAAATGACACTAATATATATTGCTGCATCATATATTCATATTTGCAAAAAATTAGAATATTAGAAAGGAACAAGAGTGAAATTAGGTTACCAACTTACCATTGCAAGCCTCTCCTTATGAATGTCAGTTGTATACTGCAAACAGGTTCCACAGTGAAATTGAAGGAATGCATTGCAATGTAAACGACTCGAACTTAGTGCATGATCATAACTTCAAAGTGATAAAAAATAAAATCAAAACTCTTACAGGCTTCTTATATAACTTGATGTCATCTCCACCAAAGCCAGGGAGTGTCATATTCCAATTTCTCTCTGAATATTGAAGAACAAGAAAATACAAGAGCTTAAAAAAAAATGTAAAAAAAAAAATACAAGAGCTTGCATATAACATTATAAGCTGATAAAACAAAAGAGTGGAGCAGTTCTAACCCAAAAAAAATGCAGAACAAACTGAATCTACTAACCTACATGCAGAAGTATGTCCTTAGCTTCCAGCGCAGTTGATCTTCGATGCTTAGCCAATAAGCAAGCAGCTGTTGTTATCTTTTCCAAGAGAAACATAATGTTAGCAGAAATTTCTCAATGACAAAAAGATGCAACAATGAAATATGAAAATAACTTTCTCATAATTAAAAAAGCAAAGTAATTGAAGTAAAATCTCGGAGCATCACAGCCAAACTATGGCTCGACTAAGAACATCAAAAGATCACATTCATAAACAAAATCAAAAGATCACATACATAAAGAAGCAATTCTCATCAATAATTTCCATCTGATTGGCCAATGTTTCATAGAATCCATTCTTCGAAAGGAAAATTTAAATGATTCATAAGCTTGCCAGATCAGGCGCATACAAGCTATGCAATATTAAGTAACATAATATGGATCCTTCATCTAATCCTGTGTGAACTGTGTTATGTTGATATTATACAAGATAAGAAGAATACCATTCAAATAACAGTTTTAAATAATTTAAAAGCAAGGAAATCAATATTTAGTCTTTTAGTACTCTACATAAACATAGCAGATAGGGTCAACCAGTAAGCAGAACTCACGGATTCAACAAAATCATCAGCTATCTCTACGAGCACTTCTTCAACTTCTGGTTCCAACTTCTCATACGGGTCAATCTACCAGGAAAAGAAATCATAATTAACTGGAGATTACAGCACAGTCAAAATAAAGGCAAATAGTATTTACTTCATATTTCAAATTACCATATAAATATATAATTAAAAGGGAAGCATACATCAAGAAGAGCGGTTTCTATATTAAGGAAATATATATTCATTCAAAAGTTTTATACCTGATACACAAATTATATAAGGCATAGATAAAACATGGTCAATGACATTGACACTATCAACTAGAGGAATTCTGCAATGGGTGGATATTTCACATAAGGAAGAATACTTGTGATGTAATACGATGCAATAATTGCTTGTTAGAAATTAATACTTGTGAACTTGCATTGCTAATTTTAAACAAATGCGTTCCAAGATAGATCGTAAGACATTTCCATGTAAGAACTAAGCAACATCAATCAACTACATTTAGAAGCAACATTAAACAAACAAAAGTAATCCAAAAATTTAAGTAATAAAGCAAATGACTCTTAACAAAAATCCAAGGCTTAAGATATAGAACCTTCACCTCGAAGTCCCTCACTTTCACACTTGGATTCACTCGGTTAGCGGAAGAGGATGGCGCACAAACTCAACAATGCCACTATTAGACAAGTAATGCCGAGGGGGCTAGCCGCTGGGGAGGAAGTCGGATTTGGGGAAGATGTCCGCCCGTTGATGATCCAATCGTCTGCTGGAAGTTGCTCGTCGATGATGTCCACGAGGGTGGGAAGAATACGGTTCGAGTAATCCTCGACGGTGTGGTCAAAGCCGAATTCGATGTCAAAGAATGGCGATCGGATGACATCGATGTCGCCTTGATGATCGTATGCAAAGCCGTGATCACGTTCCGGATCGGCCATTCATGACTATGAGATGACCTTGCGGTGTGGATGAACTTGGCAGTAGAAGAGTCTTCTCTTGGTGGAACTCGACCAAGCAAAGAGGGGAGGAGGTGGGCTCGGGTAGAGAGAGAGAGAAGAATAGGGGAAGGGGCGGGTAAATCCACTTAGGTTTTGAGGGGTTTAGAAAAAAAACTGAAATTAATTTCAGTTTTAGGAGAATTGAGGGGAGAATAAATGAATTTGAATTTTGAATATCAAGTGGGGATGGGCAATTGAGGGGGCTATTAATGTTTGAACCCCCTAGGGGCCGGCGACATGATGACAGGGAGAGGGATTAGGGGGAGTAGAATAAAAGCTGAAATTAATTTCAGCTCAAGTAAAATTGGAGGGAGAATATTTGAAATCAATTTTGAATTTCAAATAAGGGTGGAGGAGTAATTGAGCATTCAATGGGGGAAGCCCAATAAGGGGGCCGGCGGCATCATGCATGAGGGAGGGGATTGGGGAAGGAGGTAGAGGAGTTTCCAAATAGATAATGAATATTAGGAAAGAAAAATAATAACTCCAATTTGATTTATGTTGAAATTGGATTCATGAAAGAAACTTTCCTAATATGGGATTCCCTATATGGAAAAAATTTGAATTTCGAAATTTGAATTTCAAAATGATGAAGTGGTGGAGAGATGGCCGGCGGGTGGCGGGTTGGAGGCCAGCGGCTTGGCCGTCCCAAGGAGGCCGGCGGCAAGGAGGGGAGGGCTCGGGTATCCAAGGTAGTTTGAGGGGGTGAGGGTTTTCTTTGAGGAGAAGAAGAAAGTGTAAGTAGTAAGGGGAAAGGGAAATCTAGAACTCACCAAGAGATCCACGATCTATCTTGCCAAGAACTCACAAAGAGATCTTTGAGAAATTTTACAACTCATAAAGAGATCAATAATGAGAAAATTTTCATTCATCAACTAACTCTTACAATACATGAGGCCTTCTTTAAATAGGCCGAAATAGAAACAAAGCTACATGACACAAATGCCCTTTGGGCTACACAAGCGAACTCACTACCCACAGGGGTAAGCTAGGAAAATAAAATGCGATAATAAATAAAATATAACATAAATCAGAAATAAAGGCTCTGGATCGTAGCCGTCGATCTGCGTCTTCGACGATGGTACACGTATCGAAATCTGATGTCCTCATCAACTTGAGATGATTCACCTTCTCTAGAACAACACATACTATAGCACACATTTCAATAGTCCATAATGAAAATATGCGTGGCAGATCTCTTAATCATCCAAATTTACCTTTTGGTGATACTGTGTGTTTCTTTTTCTTTATTAGTTTGAGTATCTGTTTGTGGATAAGGAAGCGACCCCTGAAGTAGCTGAAGTGTGAAGTCAGTATTTACAATACCCTCCACACACATAATCAATTAAGAATTACAATTATTTATCATCAAATACTAGCTCAACAAAGGCTGCATAAATCATGTTATTCTGAAATAAACAGAAGTTGTTTCTAAGATTCCAAGGAATGCGTAAAGGATTATAGTTGATAAGTCTGATGAAAAAAACGATCACCTGGGCTACCAGCTCCTGAATGCTTCTTTTGCTGAGAATCTGATCACCAGTTTCAGGAGTGTCTTCAGTTACTGGAATGGCAGACCCAGAATGACCTAAATCTGGCTGCCCTAATTGATTGTTTGACCTTTGAGTTATAGAAGCATGACCCTTGGGAGCTTGTTGATGTTGCTGTGGAAGTGATTGCTGGTTCCTATTACTGTGGAGATCTTGCAAATGATGTGTGGAAATATTTTGTTGTTGCTGTAATTGCTGCTGATGTTGTTTTTGTTGTTGCTGCTGCTGCTGTTGTTGGGAAGGCAAAACCTGTAGAAGATTTGGAGCCACTGGTGGCGAATACTGTTGCTTTGTATGGGGCCTATATGCAGTGGAAGGAAATGAAGTTCCAAGTGTTTGTTTTCCTTGGTTAGACATCCATTGCTGTTGAAGGGATTGTGCACTCTGCGGTGCAGATATTGGGACATTTGATGAAGGCATGGAAGTTGGTCTTGATAATCCAGGATTTGAGAACTTCTGAAAATTACAGTTAAAAAGAAATATGCCCCAGTCAGATTTGGTTGAAAATTTTCGCTTCAATTGCATTAGCTTCAAAGCAGACATTCATACAAGAATAAAGGAATCAATTAATGCAAATAACCGATCATAACAACAAAATGTATACTAATAAAAAAAAGTGGCTTGGGATTTTTCACAAATATAATCTCAACCCCTTCAATTTAAAAAGGAAATTGATGGGGACATCAGAGCATGGAAAGTATATCAGAGGCGTGGCCATCGATCTATGGCCACGATCGAGTCTATATATTTTTGAGTCATTTCATGTATTTATTTTCTTTTATTATGTTATGTAGCTTTTATTATTTATGTATATTTGTTTTCCCGCTTTACCCTTTCTTAAGGGCAGTTGAATGTAAGCCCTAGGGGCATTGTCGTCCATTTAATTTTTTTTTAGTCTTTTCTACGAGGCTATTTATAGCCCTTATGTTCTTCTTCTAAGGCTAATGAATGATTGAATGATAAAATTTCTTCTCTTTGATTGAGTTCTCATGAGAGCTTGAAAGATTGGAGTGAGGACCCTTGGAAAGGGAAGTTTGGATCACCCACCAACCTTGGAGACGGCCGGGTTCGTGGTTCTTTCTTTTATCTATCTTTCTTCCTTTGTCACCAAGCCGCCGGCCGTGAAGCCCATCCCATCCCATCAAGTCGCCGGCCATCATGCAACCTCCACTCGCCATCGGGTAAATTCAATTCCATCCCTACCATCATCCGACGAACCACACCCTCCTCACCACCCCACCGAAATTCCCCTCTTAAACCCACCAAGCCGCCGGCCTTACCTCCCTCCTCCTCCCTCCAAAATTCAAATCTCTATTTGAATATTTTCCATAAATAAATATTCTTGATTTGGGAAGATCTAATTTCAAATTTCAAGCAATTTGAATTTGAAATTTTCTTTCCTAATTTAAGAAAACCTATTTTAGGAAAGTTTCTAAATTTAAACCAATTTGAATTTCAAATTCATTTGGATTCAATTAAAATCTTTCCTAATTCATAAATCCAAATTAAAAAACCTTTAATCCCCTCTCATTAATTCCCTCCAAGGCCATTAATGCCGTCAACCCCTTTAGGGATTGGATTAGGAATTCCTTCCTAAAACCCAATTCTCCACTTTAGAAAAACAATTCCAAATCTCATGCTCCCTCGGCCGAAATTTTCAAAAGCCCACAACTCTTAAATACTTTCCAAATCCTAACATTAGAGTTTGGAAACAAATCCCTCATCCCCACCTCTCTCTTGCCGCCGCCCATACCCTCTCTCCCTCTCCTTTAATTATTCCCAAACATAAGGATTAACTAGAGTAGTGTTTGAAAACCTTTCCTCTCCTCCCAAATCAAACCAAATTAAATCCCTCTTTCTACTCCCTTGGCCGGCCACCCTCCTCCATCACCTCCACTTTGAATCCGGGAGAAACTTCTTTCTCTCTCGCGAGGGTTCAAGGGTTGGTCTTAATCTTCAACTATATAACTTTCTCCTAGCGCTTGAATGGCCGATCCGGAGCTTGACTACGGGTTCGCTTACGACGAGCAAGGATACATTAATATCCTTCACTCCTCCTTCGACTTCAACCAGGAGATCGATCATTCCATTGAAGAGTATGTGGACCGCATCATCTTCACGCTATCAGAAGCTATCGATGAGCAACTTGCCGGTGCTCAGTGGCAAATCGTCTCCGAACCTTCCCAAGGGTGAACCTCTTCCCCTCTTCATTTTCTTTCATTATCCACTAACTTTGTAGGTGATGATAAGTCGCTAAGAGCTGTGCTTCACCTAATGCCAAAGCCTAGTAAATGTAGGATTGAGTGTGCTTTATTTGTTTTTAATCTTATTGTTAGATTAGGGATGTTGTTAAAATCTACTTAGCATAATGTTGAATTTCTAAGTTATTTTGATTTTCCAAGTGTTTAGCAAGTGGCTTGGCCTAAGCGTAGGCACCATTCTCTTGTTTTATTTTATCGTTTTAATTGCTAAAGGTTTAATCTTTATTATTCTAATCAAAGAATTGTGCAAATTCTTATTTCATTTATTTAAAAGCATCTTAGTCCTACATCAGAAATCTATGTTATGTGTGGAATATGATTGTGTTGATAAATCTGGTTATTTTGCTATCTCGGACCTCAAAACTTGTAGTGTACGATGGGGGGTGCGGGGGTTTGGGTTCGGGTACCTGAGCGCTCCGGCGATGTATTCCTGAGCGCCACAACAACTGAACAACAGAGAACAGATCGCCACAGAGGTACAGATACGGCGTTGCAGCGGTGCAAGACAGAGGCTTGAGTGCCGCAGCGCTACGAGACGGGCTGGATGGTTTTCTTTCTCGTTTTTCTGAAGAGTTGCCTTCCTTGGGGTTATTTTACTTGGATTTCTCTTGTATTTTGAGAGTGTAGACATTGAGAACGAAATATGTGAGAAGAGAAGCAAGGAAAGAGTGAGAGAGAAGAGAGATCTGTATTTATTTCTCCCAATTTTCATAATGAATTTCTTAGTGTGTTGTGGCTCCGTGATTTTTTTTTCTCTATTTTGGGTTTATCAACATTAAATCATGATGTTATTTACTTTTTCGTTGTTTTTACTTTCTTTCTTGTTTCATCATTATGGTGTTTACTCATCATCACCAATAACTGGCATAAGATCAAGGTTCTTCAGATCGAGTGGGAGTAATGGCGGACGAAACAATGTACAATATTGAAAAGTTCAATGGTTCGAACTTCGTATTCTGGAGGATGTAAATTGAAGAATTGTTGTATTAGAAGAAATTGTATTTATCTTTGGAAGGAATCACTGAGAAGTCGTATTTTATGACTATGGAGGAATGGGAGGATCTTGACCAGACTGCACTAGGTTTGATACGACTTTCACTTTCCTCATCTATTACATTCAATAATGTAAATGAGAAGACTACAATCGATCTCATGGCTGCACTGACTCAGATGTATGAGAAGTCATTAGCCTCAAACAAAGTGTTCTTGATAAAGAAGTTATTTAATATGAAGATATTGGACAGCACTCCAATGGCAAAATACTTGAATAATCTAAACACTGTGATGAGTCAATTGTGTTCAGTTGGCATCAATTTTGATGATGAGGTGAGGGCATTATTTTTGTTATCTTCATTGCCAGAAAGTTGTGATGGGCTTGATACTGTTGTGAGTAACTTTTCGGGAAGTTCAAAGCTGAAATTTGATAACATTATGGGGTTAGTGCTTAATGAAGAATTTAGCAAGAGTGCGAATGGTGAATCTTTAAATATTGCTATGAATGTTGAAGCAAAAGGAAGGTGTTTAAAGAGAAATCCAAATAGAGGGAGATCTAAATCCAAGCGAGGAAAGTCTACTTCATGTAGAGGAAAAATTGTGTGCTTAGCTGTGGAAAAAAGGGTCACTTGAAGAAGGACAGTATAGTTTAAAGAAGGGCAATGATGGAGGTCAAGACAAAAATCATTCTGCAAATGTAATTGCAGAAGAATGCCAATCAGATTATTTGAGTTTATCTCTATATAATTCAGATTCTTGGGTGATAGATTAAAGTGCTTCTTTTCATGCAAGTCCTAACAAGGAAGCATTCAAGAACTATACTCAAGGTAATTTTGATAAAGTGTATCTCACGGACAACAAGCCCTACAATATTGTTGGCATGGAGATGTTGATATCAGAATGTCGGATGGGTCAATTTGGAGACTCAAGAATGTTAGGCACATTCCTTGTCTGAAGAGGAGTTTAGTTTTTGTGAGTCTGCTTGCAAACTCAGGCCATGTGACATTATTCACAGGACATACGTGGAAGGTGACAAAATGAGCTATGGTTATAGCTCATGGAAGTATTGAAGGCACCCTATATGTTATCAATAGAAGAGCAGATTATATTGGAGTAGCATATTCAGATGTTGATGAAGGTCTTTGGCATCAAATGCTTGGCTATATGAGTAAAAAAGGTACGCATTCACTTCTTACTAGAAGAAAGCTTCATAGTTTAAAATCTATAGATTTAGATTTTTGTTAAGATTGTGTATATGGCAAACAACATAGGATGCATTTTTCAAATATTGGTTCAAAAGTCAAGTCAAAGAAGTTGGAGTTAGTGCATACTGATGTGTGGGGTCATGCTCCAATTACTTCTATAGGAGGATCTTTGTATTTTGTCACATTTATTGATGATCACAGTAGGAAGGTATGGGTATACTTTTTAAAACAAATCAGATGTGTTTGATGTTTTCAAAAAGTGGAAGGTCATGGTTGAGCTAGAGACAGGTCTAAAGCTCAAGTGTCTCATATCAAATAATTGTGGCTAGTATCGTGATAAAGAGTTTAGGGAGTATTGTGCTTTGAATGAGATCAAGCATGAGTTCATTGTTCTAAGAACACCAAAGCAGAATGGTGTTGCAGAACGCATAAATAAAACTATCACTGAGCGTGGCAGGAGCATGAGGTTATATGAAGGTCTACCCAAACAGTTCTGGACAAAAGCAGTGAATACTGCGGTTTATCTGATCAATCGTGATCCTTCAACTCCTCTGAATGAGGGGTTACCTGAGGAAGTCCGGAGTGGAAAGGAGGTTAATTTATCCCACCTCAAAATTTTTGGTTGTTCATCCTATGTTCATGTTGATGCAGGATCTAGAAGTAAATTTGATCCACGATATATCAAGTGTACATTCATAGGATATGACTCGGATGAATTTGGCTATAAATTATGGGATTATAATAATAAGAAGTTCATTAGGAGAAGGAATGTTAATTCAATGAAAGTGAAACATACAAGGATAGAAATGGGACTCCTGAAGATTCTTCAAAATATATTTGAGATAGAGGATGATGATGATCAATAAGACAAAGATGATGAAGCACAGAGAGTACCTCAGACCCATGCTACTGAAATTAGGAGATCTAGCAGAATCTCAAGGCCAGTACAGAGGTATTCTCCTTCCTTATACTATATATTGCTGACAGATAGTGGTGAACCAAAGTGCTATGATGAAGTCCTTCAAGTTGATGATTCAAATAAGTGGGAGCAAGCCATGGATGATGAGATGCGTTCAGTTGAGTTGCATCAAACTTGGGAGTAGACAAAGCTACCAGATGGCAAGAGAGCACTGCATAATAAGTGGGTTTAATGGCTGAAAGAAGAACCTGATGGTAGCAAGTGCTACAAGGCCAGGCTTGTAGTTGAAGGTTTTCAGCATAAGGAAAGAGCGGACTTCACTGAAATTTTCTCTCCAATGGTCAAGATGGCTATAATCAGAGTTGTACTGAGCATGACAGTAGTGGAGGATTTACATATAGAGCAAACGGATGTAAATACAACATTTCTTTATGGTGACCTTGATGAAGAGTTGTACATGGTGCAACCTCACGGATATGTGATCACAGGCAATGAAGAGTTGGTGTGTAGGCCCAGGAGGAGCTTATACAAGCTGACGCATACACCAAGAAAGTGATATAGGATATTTGACAAGTTTATGTCAAATAATAGGTACACAAAGTGTCAGGCATACCACTGTTGTGTTTTCAAACATTTTGATAATTATTATATTATTCTGCTTTCGTATGTGGATGTCATGCTGGTTGTAGGTTCATATATGAAGAAGATAAGATGTTTGAAAGAACAATAATCAAATGAGTTTGAAATGAAAAATCTGGATCTAGCAAAGAAAATTCTTGGTATGAGAATTAGTAAAGATAGAAGTGTAGGTATACTGAAGTTGTCTCAGGCAGAGTATGTTGAAAAGGTGCTTCAGATATTCATCATGACTGAGACAAAGCCAGTTTGTACTCCCTTGGGTAGTCACTTTCAGTTATCCACGAAAAAATCACGAAAATCTGAAGTAGAGGAAGAACAAATGAAGAAGACTTTGTATGCTTCAATAATTGGGAGTTTGATGTATGCTATGATTTACACAATATCTGATATAGCATATGTAGTGGGAGTTGTTAGCAGATTTATGAGTAAACCAGACAAAATTCATTGGGAGACGGTTAAGTGGATTCTCATATACCTGAGAGAATCAGTTGACAAAGCTCTTTGCTTTGGTGGTGCCGAGATTGATCTACAGGTTATGTAGATTATGCTCTTGCTGGAGATCTTGATGGTAGAAGAAATAAAACATGTTATATCTTCACTTTGGGAAAGACTGCAGTCAGTTCGAATTTCAAGTTACAAAAGATTGTTACGCTCTCAATCATAGAAGCGAAGTACATTGCTATCACTTAGGCTAGCATTGAGATGATTTGGTTGCAAAGTTTCTTGTTAGAACTTGGCAAGGGAAAAGAAATAGGAAACTACATAGTGACATCATGAGTGTTATACATCTAACCAAGAATGCTGCATTTTATGCTGGGACGAAGCACATCCAACTTCGGTATCATTTCATCATGTCGCTTCTGGAACATGGTAAGTTATCTTCGAAGAAGATACACACAACTGAAAATCTTCAAACATGCTGACGAAGATGGTGATAGTTGAAAAAATGAAGCTGTGTGGCTTCAGTTGGTCTTCACAGAGGATGAGAGCAGGGGTGAGCCACACTATCGGTACTATGATTGGTGTTACAAATCAAGAGAATGATTAATTGCAATCAATTCTAAGTGGGAGAATGATTAATTTCAAGAAAGAGACTTGAGCGCCGCAACGCCCCAAACTAGTACTACAGTGCTGCGAGACGGACTGGACAGTTTTCTTTCTCATTTTTCTGAAGGTTTGCATCCCTTGGAGTTATTTTACTTAGCTTTCTCTTATATTTTGAGAGTGTAGACATTAAGAACGGTGCATGTGAGAAGAGAATCAAGTAGAGAGTGAGAGAGAAGAGAGAATTGTACTTATTTCTCCCAATTTTCATAGTGGATTTCTTGGTGTGGTGTGGCTCAATGATTTTTTCCCTATTTTGGGATTCTCTACTTTAAATCCTAGTGTCCGTTGCTTTTTCACTACTTTTACTTTCTTGTTTGTTTTGTCATTGTGGTGTTTACTCCTCATCATCCCCAACAATCCAAACGCTTCAAAATCAAAATCTTAACTGCTTGGTACTTTTACCAGGAAGGATTCAAAATAATGATGATTCAAAACAAAAATTTTGATTTACAAGTGCTATACCCAATCTCAGGTCAAACTGCAACTTTATCTTGCAGTTAAACAAACAAATACTAATTGCCGATTCTATCATCCCTATAGTCACACCCTTCCCGTCCACTTCTTTATTCTTCAGCCTAAGCATTAACCCTTTATCGCGATCCACGTCTCACCCTCCTAATCTCTCTTCAATTGACATTAACCGCCAACTAATTGAGGAAGAAGCCATGCATCCGGCTTCAAAGATTGCGATGGAACTCTTGAATCACTGCAAGTAGGGTTATGCAGTGGTACTGAGTATTAATTTTTAGAATTTTAGTTCAGCATTTTTTAGATTTAGAAGTGTTCAAGATATGCAGATAATTTATATTTTTGTTACTAGAAATTATGTAAATTATGTTCAAACAATGTTTTGATTAAAACTGGTTCAATTTTTCCATCATCTTCTATCTAATATGCCTCGGATGATATAAAGTTTAAGAGCTGATACCATCTTCAAAATTTTTTCCTAAAAGAGGCAACTATCTTTTGTTTTAGTTTTTCTTTACCATGTCACGTTCATTGTTTTAGGATTGATTATATCGTACAATAATGATCGAATTAGGTTCCAAAAGATTTTCAACTCGAAGTTATCCTTTGATAAAATAAAGTGGGACGGGAGACATATATGGTACATACGGTAATTTATTTATTACTTTTCATAAAATTTCTATCTCATTATGAAGATTAATTTGATGGCATTGATACTAATATTTGATCCGCTTTGTACGCAACTGAATGGATATGGACTCATTGTTCCAATGCCATGATGACCCAGCTAGAATTTCTCCTACTCTTGTTGCTGTAGATGTTGATACTACACATGAAAAAAAAACTAAAAAGCTATTATAAAATATATAATGTTGCGATGGACTTTATCCCTAAAAATGTGAAAAGATAGATGAAAGAAATATCAAGAAGAGGATGACTCGGATAATGGTGTGTAATCTAAGGAATAAATCAGTTATGGTTTGCTTATATTTATAAATGGGCGTATTTATTGAATATTTGTCATATTTCAAATACTAATATACATAAAATACTTCTCATTAAAACAACAGCTTTGGGCTATCATTTAAATGAAATTGTGGTTTCTCTTGCAGTTCTCATGGAGCTTCTCCCACAGCAGGCAACAAGAAATACAGAAATACATTCACTCATTAGATGAACAGAAGGAAATCCTGTGCATAAACAAAGCTCAAAACTTGTATCCAAAAGAAAATTGCATCATGATCAACAAAGACAAAAATAGAAAAAGACAGAAAGGGAAAAAAACAAGTTCAAGGCACATTCTGCATCTGATAGCCATTTCATAACTTTATAGGAAAGTTAGACAGATAGCAAGTTCAAAGAGAAAAGTAAAATTATGCACGGGAAATAAAGGATGAAAGTTCTGCCAACTTACTGGCGTATTTAAAGTTTGATTGGTGGCTGACTGAGGTAGGGATTTATCAGTAGGTTGACCAAGTCTTTGTTGATGCTGAATCCCACTTGCTCGCATTCGCGAAGCACCACTGAGAGAACCAATCATCCCAATTGTTTGGACACTATGAATTGGTGGCTTAAACTGTAATTTGTGGAACAAAGTTAGCAAACAAGTACAATTGGTCAGATGTTCCTACTGAATAACAACAACAATGACAATCTGGAATCCAGCTTTAACAGGCAACTTACAGTTCAAACATGCAATAAGAAGTATTCAAACATCATAATCGAAGTTCATCCCTTATGGATCAAGAACAGGAAGTAAGTTCAGAAGAAAAGGTTGGTCATGTTAAGAAATTAACCCCCCTATATAGACAATATAATGATCTAATAACTATTGCTGCCCACTGACCAGGAGTTTTACTAATAAATACTTTTTAAAGTTTTGAACATGATGTCATAAGTAAACATTAAGAGTTAAATATACATATCTCAAGAAAAAAAAATTATTTGTCAATATCTATTTTGCAGGTACCCCATTAAATGTTTCGTCTTTGAACTGCTATTCAAACTTCTACTTTTCATGACCAGTAAATTATGATTCATAGCGCTGCTACTCCCAATCACCATCATGCAATTGTCTATCATGGTGATGAAGGACGGCAAAGGGTTTAGTATTTTTAATATAGATATAGTATGAGAAATAGAAAAATTATACATCAAGCACACAAAACTAACAAGACAATTTATTAATCTAAAAATTATTATTCAGTGCCTTTTGATGAAAAAAGAAAACAAAATGGAAATCAATTTAGAAGAATATTCATGATCAGGAAGAAACAGAGACATTTAAAAGATTACGTACTTGATAGAAAATGGATTGTATTAAATTTAACTAAACTCAATCATTCTTCCAAAGTAATAACAAAATATATAAAAGTAAAAAAGAGGACTGGAATTTTCTATAAAGTAAGTCCCATGATTGTATAAGGAGATGAGATCTCTCAAAACTCTTAAAATCTCTCACTAGATCAAGGATCTGAATACTAGAAAATGAATAGCACATCTAAACATAATTTGTATTTGATCACTAATTGAGTTTTGTTGCTGCCACAGATCCCTATTTATAATCAAAAAATCAAATGAATAAAAATCAATTAATCAGCTTTAAAAGAAAAGTTTGTAATAGCGGATTCAACAAAATGGTATCCATAAAGAGCTACAAAAACATAAATTTGTTAAAGACATGGAGAAGAAATTTGTTGGATCTATAAAAAAGCTGCTGCTGTAACTGACAAAACAAGACCTAGTCAAGAAAGATGTAAGGAATCCATACGAACACAAGACCTAATTAGCAGAGCCACAAGAATGCAGGCGTTAAAGCCACGGACGACTGATCACATAGAGTTGTTGATAGAAATAGAGAACCAAATGGGGTAAATCCGTTGAATAGAAAACTACAAGGAGGAAAAACAACTCAGGGAACAGAAAACGCAAACTATCTTCATGGGATTTCTTGGCAATAGAAAGATAGAGATCGAATTAGGGAATAGGGATTTAAGTATAATTCACACTTTCATGATAAGAAACAACCTAGAAAAGTAAATACAAGCTCTGACTAAAATTCAAAATAAATAAAGAAACCAAAACAACTAAAAAACCAAATAAATCCAACTTCAAATTAACTTTCTTAAAGCACAATTTTTTATTTTCTACATTGCTAACTTTGAGATTCACATAAATTTTGCTAAGCATGAACAAAATTCAACCACGATGAATTGTTGAATTGATATTCATAAAGTAAATAAGGGCATAATTATTCACTTCATGTAGATAGATGTATAAGCCATCACATGTAGGCTTGTCCAGCCAACGCGCAAGATACCTTTGAGCTCCACCATTAGTAGTCAAAACAATTTTCATTACCACCATAGCTTCTAACAAAAGATTAGCAAGAGTTTTTTGAGATTATGGAGATGATGTGTTATATTTAAATCCTAAAGTAGGGGGTGAAAAGAGAGTAGAATTCCAGGTATTGGCTGATAGTTCATAATATAAAGTTAATTAAATATATTAAAAATTGGGCTGATACAAAAATCTTATAGGATTTCTAACTTATAAGCATGTCTGAAATCGTTGTATGATTTCATTTTTTTATGCAGTTAACTTTCTAGCATTCCTACAATAAATTTTTAGAGATTTAAGTAGACCAATAACTAGCTTGAACTCCAAATATCTCTTATTCACATCACGAATAGATTTAGGGTTTTCAAAATTAATAACAAGTTTCTTGCAAATACTTTCATATAAATCATGCATATAACTAATGGATAATAATATATAGTAATATATGATACACTAACTTGTAGTTTTCTAGCTTTTGATCGTGGCTTACTACACTAACTTGTAGTTTACTAGCTTGTTTTGTGCTCGGCTTGTTACATGCCTAGCTTGTTTCTATGTTATACTTTTGACTAGTCATGCTCCTTAACGTTTAAAATAGTGTTAGAACTAAAATTTTCTAGTAAATCGACAATGTTTAGGCTCTTATTATTTTTTCAATTGTAATCATGCTTTAAGCAATGTCAGCCTTGTCACAAAATAAGGGGAACATAATCTAAGGTGATGGTGTACTTGTTTAGACTACTTGTAGGGGACACTCAATCATATCCAAAAAAAAATTCCAAAATTTTTGTAAAATTACAACAAATGGATGAAGAGGTTGAGTAAAGGGGGAAGAATGCTGTAGATAAGAAGGTTACACTTCCTTCTTTTGGCAATTTTGGTCCACGAACCATCTCCTCCGCGGTCAAGTAAGATTTTGTTTAGGTTGGATGAGTACAATGAAAAAAGAGAAAGACAACCACAGCAAAGAAAGTTATTGAAATAATATTTAATGTTTAAACTAGTTATTAATTGTATGATTATATAGCTTCTATATTATGTTAACTTTTGTTTCATTTCATTTATCTAGAAATTTATAGTTTTTAAATATTTTTTCTCAAAATATGCAGACAATAACACTCGCTAGATACATCATTGGGGTTATAAATTTTTTAAGAGGACACTAAATCAAAAAGAAAGAGCAAATTTCAAACGATTGCTTAAGCCAATCAAACGACCATAGAATGAAAAGGAAGTTATTGTTATGTTTGATCAGCTATATGCACATAAAGTGACTTGTATTAACTTCACAGGATATAGAAAGTTTAATCCTATGTTTATATAGGTCATCAAATATGAAGAAGTATATAAAATATATTGCATACTATATCAAAGAAGTGATTATGGAGGTAGGTCCAGATAAGGCATTTGGGCAATCCACCAACAATACACTATTGCTTAACTTTACGGACTCCAATTAAAACCCAACACCTAATAATTTTATACTATTTAGGTTCTTCACAGATTAAATACTGCATTCTAGTATATTTGTGCACCAAAAATATAGCGGGTAAAGAGATCACTTATGAAGAATGTAGCTAGATCAATGATGTTGCAAGAGATGTAAACGCTCTAAAGAATTTTATCATAAATCACTCAATGAGACTTTAAATATTTCAATATTGCATTAGTAATCATGTTTATGAGATTCAAAAATATAATTAGAAAATAGCATATGATATTCATGTGCATAGATGGAACATTGTGTCAAAATATTTTTGAATTATTTTCTCCATTGTGTCAGGTTATGAGCCAAATTCTCATTTAGATATAACAAAAAAAAGTCATTTCTAATATTTTCTAATCAATTTTTTTTAGGTCTACCTCCACCTTTCATAAGTAGCCTTTGATTATTTGCAAATATTTAACTAGTACTTCTAAATGATTGAAGAGCTTCATTATGATATGTACTTTATTCATCAAGAAATATAAACATCCTTGGCTAAGCAGCGCTCCAAATTGTATTGCTCCACATAAAAATAAGAAAATATCAAATAAGAGGAATAAATGTTTGAAAAGATTTTTTATGATTTTTTAAGAGAGAAATTTTTTTTTTTAATTTTTGAAGAGAGAATAATGGTGAATTTGGAGTTTGTTAACTTTATTGTACTTGAAAGTGCATTTATTGAACATGATCCATAGCTTCTAGAAGTATCATGGATGGAAAGTTCGAAAAATAATTTATTGTGCTAGCGCTCCAAGGAAACAAAATTTGTCTTCAAAATCCCTTAATAGATATGATATACAATGTATTTTATAATCAATTCATGTTCTGAAAAAAATTGGAGTATAAATGTATGGATGACACTTGCAAAGAACGAACATTATCACTCATAAGGGTGGAGACATGATATTAAAGAAAAACAATCTTCTTTTTCTATATAAAAGGAGTCTAATATATATCCAAAATAAGACCAAATTATGAGACATGCATAGCGATGTATTCTGATAGGAAATACTTGAATTTGCAAGTAACCTAACCAAAATCGGCGAACCAACAGCAGCCAAATGGCTGTCCACAGCAGGAAAACAGCAGAAATCTGCTGTTTACAGCAGAAAAACAGCACTTGTCCGGTAAAATCTGAGAGAAAACTCAAAGGAAAGCTTGTATTTCACTAGTAGATGAATAAAAACAGCAAGATACAATTGATCCTCAATTCGAGAGGAGGATCGATCTCCCCAAATCTCTAGACGCCGCTAGAGCCCAAAGAAAACCTAAATCTACGAGATCTCAAATTTCAGCCAAATTCAAGATACTCAAACCCTAGAAAAAACAACTATTTAATGCATACAAATCAAAAGGAATTCCCTAAACAGTCCCTACATTCAAATTTCCCTCTTAACTCCCCAAAATTTCTTTCCTATTTGGCTCCCGCACGCCGTGCGGCTCGCTCGGCATCCCAGCGGGTAGAAGAAACTTCCGCCCTGTTCGTGCCTGAGCCGGTCCCGCCTGGACCGGTCCAGTGGACCGGTCTAACATATTCACTTAATAGATAGCATTGGAAAGGAAGTTGTTTCCCTTTCTCTTGATGAGTTGACTTTGCAAATATATATTTTATTCAATAATGGTGATGGTGCCAGCATTGGTGATAGGGGTGCTAAAAATTTTAATTTCAAATGGAATGATGAAATGATCATATGTGGGGTTATTGAAGTTCATATATGCAATATTTGATTTTCAACATTTTTGTACAACTATAGCAATCATGATATTAGCAAA